CTTTCTCAGTTTCCCTTTCTCTCTGTCCCTCCCCCATCAAACTGGAAAATAATCATACTAATAAATAAAGTTAAAAAAAAAAATTCTTAAAAAAAAAAAAAAAAAGGCTTGGCAATATCTTAAAAAGTTAAACATAGGGACTAGCAGGTAACATACTGGTTAAGGTGCTAGACTCCCATATGGTAGACTGCAGTTCGCGTCCCAGAGTCAGAAGCTTGAACATCATGCTGGACATGTGCATATGTGTGCCCCAAGTCCCCAGAGAATGGAGAAGGGATTGCGATGTGGCCATCCCCCCTGGGTGGGGGGTTACTTCTCAGTTTCCCTCTCTCTGTTTCTCTCCAGCGAGCACACTGAAGGCATGGCGAAAATAAATAAATAAATAAATAAATAAGGAAAAGGAAAAAAGTTAAACATAGACTTAGAATTCAAGTGATTCTATTCCTAGCAGTCTACCCAAGAAAATGAAAACATACATCTATACAAAGATATCTACATGAATCTTTATAGAAGCATTATTTTTTTGAAGAATTATTTTATTTGACTTTATTTTAATTTGACCAGAGAGGGACAGAGCAAGAGAGAGAGAGAGAAACAGAGACAGAGAGAAAGTGAGAAAGCAAGCCGCCAGGTCTGGGACTCAAACCATGGTTGGCCATGTAGGAGTCCAGTGCCCTTAACCACCACGCCACCTGCCAGCCCCTATAGCAGCAATATTCGAAACAGACAAAATTTGAAACCCAGGTGTCTATCAACTGGTTAATATGAAGATGGTCTTCAAAAAGTTCATGGAAGAGACCAGTACATGGTGTAATGGTTACATCACTGGATTGCCATGTAGTTGACCACGGTTCAAGTCCTAGACCCAGTAACTTAAAACTCAGGCTAGGTGCGTGTGCATGTGTGCCCAAAATCCTGAGAGGAGAATAGAGAAAGAACTGTAGCGAGGCCATCCCCCTGGGGGGGGGGAGAATTCTTGCTTTCTGTCTCTCTGTCTCTCGCATTCTATAGCAAAAATCTCTCTAAAAAAATAAGTTCATGCAAAATGCATCTTATGAAAAAATCATGCAAGGAGTTCAAGACTTTTACATTGGGGCCAGCAGGTAATAAGGTAGTGAAGGTACTGGATTCCCACATGGCTGATCGTGGTTCAAGACCTGGACCTGATAGCTTGTAAATGACAGCAAATAGGTAAATAGATGTGTGGGTTGTTGGTTTTTTTGTTTTTGTTTTTTTCTGTCTCTATGTCTCTCTCTGTCTGTCTGGCAAGCGCACGCACCCTATAGCGAAAAAAAACTCTCAAAAAAAAAAAAAGCTTATATTTTAATTCAATTCTTCCATGAGCTTTTTGAAGTTTCCTCATAGATAAATATAGTATATCCACACAATGGTTTCCTACTCAGCAATAAAAAGGAACAAACTACTAGTATGTGCTACACTGTGGACGAACCTCAAAAAATATCATGAGTAAAAGAAGCCAGAGCCAAAGACCACAAAGTGAAATGATTTCATTTACACAAAATATCTAGAAAAGGCAAATTTAGAGATAGAAAGCAGATCAGTGTTTGCCTAGGGCTGGAGTTGGGAGGTGTCTTGACTGTAAACAGATAGGAGGGACCTTACCAGTTGATGAAAATGTTCTGTAACTGGAGTGTGGTGATGGTTACACAACCCCACAAATCACGGAATTGTGGGGTTTTTTTAGAGACTTTATTTATTTTAATTTGACCAGAGAGAGATAGAGTGAGAGGGAGAGAGAGAGAGAGAGGGAGAGAGAAGTGAGAAAACAAGCCACCAGGTCTGGGATTCTAACCACGGTCGGCCACGTGGGAGTCCAGTGTCCTTAACCATCATGCCACCTGCCGTCCCTGTTATTAAAAAAAAAAAAAAACCTTTAAAATATATATTTATTTTATTTTATTAATTATTATTTAATGTGCTATAAGAGCACCAGAGAGAGAGAGAAAGTGAGAAAGCAAGCCACCAAGTGGTCCAGAACTCCAAACACAGTCGCCTTGTGGGAGTCCAGCACCTTACCAACACGCTACCTGCTGGCCCCAAGAAGGGACACTGGTGTGAGTGATCTGTTCAGATACCACAGTGGTACTCTAGGGAGTGAAGAGGCAGCGAGGACTTAAATAGCCTCCATTTCCAAAACTGCAAAACGGGAAGGATGAAGCTACAGGTCTAAAGGCTGGGAGGAGGCAGGGAAAGTGCAACTGCTGGATGCAAGTGATGGGGAGCAGAAGCCACAGGAGCTAGTGTTTCTCCCGTCCCTCCAAAATGTAACGGTCTCGAGGTCAGGAAAGAAGCGATTGGAAAAGCAGAGATTCAGAGTCAAAAATCGTTGGGTGTGTAACCCTGGGATGGTTTAAAATGCCATCAGCATGTTAGCAAGAAATGGCAACCGTTTAGAACATGTGCCACACCTGCTCCCATCCCCAGCTGGTTGCCCCATCATTTTCTCTTCCTTTAGTAAACTGGAAAGCGCTTACGATGTTTCATTAACTAATGCCAAGAAGCCAGGCACTCTGAGAACCCGATCCCCTGCAGATGGTCTGGACCGGTCCACCCAGTCCCAGTCCAACACGTGAGCTTCGGAGCTTCAGTACAGGGTCAAAACGTAGCACTAGCGGTGGCCTGTGGCCGGCCTGCGGCCTGCAGGGGGCGCCAGGCCTCAGAGCAGCCCCGCCCCGTCACGTGCCCGCCGCGCGCGTCACACCCGGAAGCTGCGCGGGAGCGGAGCCGGCAGCGATGAGTGGGGAGTCGGGGGAGACGTCCGTAGCGCCCCCTCCCGGGGAGGTTGAACCGGGCAGTGGGGTCCGCATCGTGGTGGAGTATTGGTGAGCTGCTCTGGCTGGGAGGGGCCCCCTCCTCCCCACCCTGGACCGGGCGAAGGTGGATCCAGGGGCGGCCCCTACCCTGAAACCCCAGATCTTTTCTTCCTAGTGAACCCTGCGGCTTCGAGGCGACCTACCTGGAGCTGGCCAGTGCCGTGAAGGAGCAGTATCCAGGAATCGAGATCGAGTCGCGCCTGGGGGGCACAGGTGAGGCCCACGGACACCTGCTGAGTCAGTGTGTTCTGCTCTAACACTTTCTAGCCAGTGAGAGCACTAGCTGCTTTGTGTCAAGTGCTCAGCAGTGTCCTGCTTAATAAAATGTGCGACCGAGCCCCGTCCACACAGGGCAGGGGGTTCTCAGGCCTGTAG